ATGTATCAACCACTACAATGGCCCACAATGCCCTCCTATGAAGCATCTCAAATATTGGTTCTGCTTTAATCAAAGCAAGAAAATCTGTCACTAAGTGAGATCCCTGGTGTTCAGGAGGCTCTGATGTTTTTGTTCTAACCTTTGCAAAGTGGGATCACAGTCTTCCCCAGGACATTCGGCAAAGCTGAAATTCCCCCTTGCTTACTCTCAAAAGCACAATTAGGTTCCGGTACCAAAAATAAAATAAAAATGTAAAAAGAGCAATTAGAAAAAGGATTGATCTGATCCACCAGCCAAGAGACCTTTTCATTAGCCAGGGACAACAACTGGCTAGAGCGCAAAGCAGAGCTTACTGTTCATGCAACTGGAAATTCCAGGGGTGGCTTCAGGTATGGCTGGATCTTGGTGTTCGTGTTATTAAGAATTAGTTCCCCTTTCTCGGCCTCAGTGTATTGAGTGCATGGTGATGAGATGGACACCGTTAGCTATGGATGGCTTCCTATCAAATTAGCCACACCTGAAGAAATAATGTGTTTCTGCCTTAAGAGCTCCAGAAGGAAAGAAAAAAAAAAAGGTTCAATTCAAAATAATGCACAATTGATTCAAATCAGGAAGCTGCCCATCAGAATAGATATGCTCCATTAACAAACACGTGTGAGCACGTTATCCACACAAATTGATGCTGTGCCCGGCGGTCTCTGGCCTCCCCTTTGGCCAGGCCTTAAGTTCAGTATTGAACCACCGGAGCTGAGTGTGAGGTTAGCGCCTTGCAATCTTTATGGATTGAAAGTGTGGGCAAGCCGGTGGGGGGGGGGGGAGTCCCCAAAGGAGAGCCAGAGTGCTTTTACCAGAAGGAGAGACAGATGCTGGGCGGAATAAGCCACCGTTGTCCACATTAAGCATTCTGCTTCTAACTGCGCTTTCCGCACCCAGGACTACAGGAATCCAAGCTCTTCAAACAGTTCCCCCATTGTGCTGTCACTCACATCCACGGCCTTCCCTGGCCGATAAGTATAGAACATCTGCTCAACCTCAGATACCGGACCAGGCTTTGGACATTCCAGTATGACCAGGTGGGAGCCTTGACAAGGTTGCTCACAGTCTGCACAGAGGGAATGGACACACACACACACACACACACACACACACACACACACACGAACATAAGGGACTGCGAGAAGCATGAACGGAATATCACACGGCTGCTCGCAGGAGGGAGCTCTGGCTGTGCACGAGGGAGGCTCTGGGAACGAGCGTGCCTGTCCCACCCACGCTTTGTATTGCTCAGGCTGATGTGGCTACAGCTCTTGAAGCTGCCCCGTCTCTGCCCACAAGTTATGGGCAGAAGCAGATGCAGACATAAAATCGCTGGCCTCAGCTCCTGGATCAGCAAATTATGTTTGGCCTGCAACAGGACAGCTGCATTCAGCAAAACAGCATGCATGTATCTTGATACGTAACCTTAGATCCAGGCTTCTAAATATAAGAGACAGTTTTGGGCCACCAATTAAAAAAAAAAACTCTAAAATAGCGTGTACCTTCGTGGGTTACTACTAACTCTTAAAAAAAAAAAAAAAATACTCATGGATATTGAATATCTCAGCCCAGGGGATTGTCCTATAAAAACAGACCCATGAACTCAGACACTTTTAATTCCAGTTTTGACAAATGCAAAAAAGAGGT